CATCAAATTACAATGTACGGCTGGATGAAAGCAAAATAGCAGGAGTAAAGCTTAAAAGAGCGCTATCACTAATCAGCTTGTGCTAAAGTAAGATACTGTTTTACGAGCTGTATTTCATTGCTCTGGGCTGCTGTCTTTTATAAAATAAATATATTTTGCTGAAAGTGGACTATAAAGCAGTATTAATTCAAGTTTGAGTCAGATTAAAAATATACACTGTGTGCACGGCCACTTGCCAATTAAATAACAATAGTAATGCCATTCGGGCAGTTTGTGAAAACAACTGTGCACAGTGGTAGCATTAAGCAATAAGTTTCCAGCCGTGTGTGTAGAGGTAGTTATAGTGGATGTACCACCAGCGGCCTAACAGACAAATTGGACAAGCAAAATTGGAATCAAAGGCGCAAAGGTGGAAAGAACCCTGGTGTGCAATTCAACGGCATCAACTTGACAAAAAATAAGCAATAATGTCAGAGCAATGCTAAGTGGAATAAGCCGAATTGGCATAAGCAACGGCAAACAAATGTGGATGGTCATTGCTCCGGTGCATATTCCAGGAATATAATGTGGATTGACATGGGCAATATTATGCAGCGAACAAGATATAATGCCCGATGTGCAACCCAAATTACTAATCCAGTCAATATAAATGGCGGCAAGCTGATGCAAAGTAACCGATTCCTGGTGCGCAACCGGGCAGACTAAGCCAAATCTGCGCAGATGACAGCAAGCAGTGACAATACAATATAAATGTATGTTTCATTGGTGATTAATGCAAAATGTGTGGGCACTACCAACAGCATTAATAAAGTGAATGGCAGGGATGCTGAACGCTTGAAAGTATTGTGCTGCGGTTAAAGAAGGCAGTGTGATGGAGCATCAAACACATCATCACTCTACATGTTTACCAAAAGACCTTTAATTTAGGGTCGGATGTGCGCAGTTTTTCTTTCTTCTTCAAAATCAAGATTGCGCAATTAGCTGGCCAGAATGGAAGCTGGCTAAACTCTTGTGTGGGTGCTGCATCCTCGAAAACTCCAGTTTCATTTCTTCACTCACACCATTTGTCTGATTTTGCGCCCTTAAATTCTTGGTCATGACCAGTAAATGTGCGTGCGTGCCTCCAGCACAGAACGCGGCCAGTGCCAATGCCCCCAGCACTCACAACACCACGAGTGTCACCTCCAGTGTACCTAACATTAACAACAGCACCACCACTGCTGCCAATGAGCCGCTGAGCTGTGGCAGCTGCAGTTTGACATCTCGAGCATCTGCAACCAGGCTGCCACACACTGAGCTGAGCGCCATGTTGAATGCTGAGTGCGCTGCCAAGCCGTGGATTACCAATCATATGCTATACATCCACCTCCCTGGCACATATGTGAACCAGCTCAGGGCTGTCTCAGCCCACATTCTAGCTGCTCTCAAGTACCCAGCCACGATGCTGATGAGTGACCCAAACCATCTAATTACAAGCTGGGGGTACAGCGACGACTTTCTCTCTATTCAACTGTGCAACAAGGATGACCAGGCAGCTCTGGCCCAGAGGCCCCTCGTTCTTAATGACAACAAATTCCTGTGGGTGACCTCTGATGGTGTCATGACTCCAGTCATGTTCATGGGCACGCCCAACCACATTATTGATGAGCACATTACTGCAGCGATGCACCAGAAGGGTTTCACCCTGACCAATGTCACTTTGATTCCTTCCATCGACAGCATGCACATTGGTGACTGGTCAGGTCTGCTTTACATGCCGATCGGGGAGGATATTCCCACCTCGGTCAAGCTAAATGACATCGAACAAGAATGCCGCATCCTCTCTGCATGCTTACGCGCACGCTGCCTCCAGTGCGACCATATCGTGGCAGACAAATCAAAATGCTTCAAGCTGAGCCCTGCCGCGTGAGCACTTGGCATTCCTTTGCTTCCTATGACTACCAGTGAGCCCTATGCTATACCGGTTGCTAAGCTGCAACCAGCACACACCACGCAGACTCCGATTGCACACATTGAAGCATGTACACTGCCCCTGACTCCTCCTGTAGTGCACAATCCCATGGACAATGCGGATGCAGTGGACACCACTGGAAAGAACTCTGAGCCCGCAGTAACATTGCCAGTCACTGAGGCACTCTCTGCTGCAACCCATGCACCTGCCGGGAGTGCAAAGAAGACATTTGTATTCCCCGGATTCACAAAGAAGGCCCCTGTGAACGTGAAGTCGACCCCCACACCAGCCAATGTGGCGACGGCCCCTATGTTGCATAACGTGGCGAGGGCTCCTGTCACTGTGGTGATGGCATCCACCGCTACAAGGACGGCCCGCAACTACAATGATGGCACCTGTGCCGGCTAATGCAGCAATGACTCCTGTCACTACGATGGCGGACCCCACGGATCCAAAGGTGGCCCCTGTACCAGCTAATGTGGCGACGGTCCCTGTACCAAGCATTGTGACAAAGGCTTCTGCCACAGTGAAAACGGTCCCTGTATCGAGCAACGCAATGGTCTCTGCAGATTCTGGTGCCAAGCTGGCTTGTCTTGCAGTGATCCTTCCTTCAAATTCGATTTCCAGCAGCCCTGTGCAAGCTGCACAGACTTTGATTGTGCACATTGAAGCATGTACACTGCCCCCGACTTCTCCTGTAGTGCACAATGCAGATGCAGTGAACACTGCTGGCGAGCCCTCCAGACACACAGTAATGTTGCCAGTCACTGAGGCACCCTCTGCTGTGTCCCCCGTACTCACCAGAAATATAAAGAAGGCTTCCATATTGGCCGAAATCACAAAGAAGGCTTCCATATTGGCCGAAATCACAAAGAAGGCTTCTGAATACACTTGGTCATGTGAAGAAGGCTTCCAACTACGCTGGTCATATGGAGAAGGCTTCCACATCTGCCAGATTCACGATGGCCCTGCAAATGCAAAGACAAACCCTGTACCAACTAATGCACCAATGGCTCCTGCCACTACGATGATGGCACCTGCTACTATGATTATGGTGGCCGCAACTACAATGACGGCCCTCGCGAGTGCAAAGTCGGCCCCTGCCCCTGCCAGAAGTGCAAAGAAAGCTTCCGTATCCCCTGAAACCACAAATCTGGCCCCTGCGCCAACTACAGTGATGGCCTCTGTGAACGTGAAAACAGTCACTGTACCAACTAATGTAGCAGGTCTTGCAATCCCCCACACCAACTCGGCGCTCCCAGCAGCAGCCCTTCCTATGTCTGTTACTCCCACTGGTTTTGCAGCCACCACCATGGCCCTGCAGTCGAGCCTGATTGTGAGCCAACCACTCACTTAGCCCTATAAACAATATATTAAAACTATATAAAAATTTATAGCATCAGAACATATGAATTTGCCTAGAAGAATGCTTAAAAAAGATTAATTAATCATTCCTAGGTTTTGATTCGGTGGTCCAGAGGTTCGGGAAGAAGAAATAAAGGGCAGTGCCATATGATAGATTGGCTATGGTGGGCACTGCACATGTGTCGCATGGCATGGGAAAGTTGGCAGGCAATCTAGCCCTGCGGGACCCTGCATAAAATTAGAATTTCAGAGCATGATTAACAGAATTCCAGTTATTGGAGGTAATATTTTGTAGGTGGTTGCACAGGCATGACCATTTCGATGTAGTAGCTTTAATACATGTTAGCAGTGTACATTTGTGCAGTACCCTTGTTTTCCTCCAGCAGATCATGGAAGAGAGCCAAATAAAGGAATTCCGCAATATGGCTGCCCAACAAGTGCAACACAATGGCAAAAAGGGAGAAACTCGCTGTTCCATGCCTGTACAAAATGTGCTGTATTTTGCAGGTTATTTTCATAAACCCAACCCATTTGTTGTGCTGGGTCCACAGTATGTGCAAGCAGCTGCATATTGCAGGCATACATTGTGTGAGGTCATATTCAAGCACTCTAGAATATTGTGCTTATATTTGGCCCACGTCTGTCACCTTTTTATTTTACTTGTGAGCATATCCATGACCATATAGTGTTTGTGGAAATGGCCAATCTGGCAATTTGCAATGTAGTTTGTTTTTCTATTCATCTTGCAACAGTATGCATAAATATTTGTGTGTGGATCTGCCATTTTGACATATGAGTTGGACTTGGATGTTGATTTGGCATTCAACAGCAAGCAGAACACAATTTTTGTACAGATGGCCAAGGAATTCAATAAATGCTGATTTCTTAGGGGTATGCAATATCGAAGTGGTGTCATTTTTGTACCAGAGAGGGCCACTCTTTGTGCACAGATATTTGAAGGTAAAATATTTTGTATTTGAGCTTTAGTGTTTTTATCTGTAGTCATCAGCACATCAGCATGAATTTTAGGAATATGTATAAATGCATTGGCCAGTGAAACTACTGCAATGTAAGTGCACCAGTTTTGTTGCACAGTGCATTAGCAACTGCATGGTTATCAAATGTAACCAATATATTTTTGGATTGCCTGAATACACTGTGCAATCTAGAATTACTCTAAGCAAGTTGCTTTTAAACAATTGGCTGTTTGCATGGCACATATAAGTTAATTAGTTGTAAATGTGCTAAATCATTTTGCAAAGTATTCCAACTGTTTGTGAATAATTTGGACAATGTACAACAGCTATATGTGTATTACACTCTCTGGCACTGGTCAAATATACCCTTGTAATTGATAGTAGATGCACTTTCAAAAAAATAAATACAGAATAATAACTACATGCAATGGCATATTTGTTGTTTACATAGTTAGTTTGTTGGAAATATCAAATTGGGGTCTAGTGAGTAGTCCCAAAAATACCACCTTGACAGATTATTATTGCTTGTGTGATATTATTTGTTTGAGTTTATCATTAAACATGCATACTATCTCAAATGTTTTTGCTTGGTCTTTTAGCAGTGCTGTTGTTACAAAAGATGGTTTATGCTATAGCAGCACTAGCCATGAGCCACATGTACTGATCATTTGGCATGCCATCAGAAATGGGTGATTAGCTCAGAAAACGCTCGCTTAGCTCAGTCGGTTAGAGCGACGTGCTAATAGGTGGAAATTCCCGGCTTCCGGGGAAAACACTAGCTACGCGTAGGTCACAGGTTCGACCCCTGTAGTGAGCATTTTTTGCAATTTTTTTTTGCACTTTGCCTGTGATTGCGGATCGCTTTATAAACTAATTTTTTTTTTTTTTGGAAAAGTCGCTACTTGAAAAGCGCAGCTGCTGCGCGTGCCTCGTAGTCTGGCTTGGCGGCGGCGGGCTTTGGCCGGGCTGGCGCGGTGCCGAGCGTCATTGACGA